AAGCAGGGCAACATCTGTGAAGTGTGGCTCAGTGCTGGCCTCCTTTGGCATTTCAAGAGATTGTTTTGATGAGTAAAACTCAAAATCTCTGTGCACAAAAGATGACCTGAGGTGGGTAATGCTCTTCAGTGTCTGTGCATTTGCACAGCTCTTTGCAGCTGATGAGGCTGGAAGGGATGGAGGTCTTTCTACTGGGCTTGTTCACTGAGGAGGAAGATGTCTGGGCACACAGAGCAGATGTAAGTCTTCACCTGCTATTATGGTCTCTGTCCTTCGTCGTGAGCCTAAATGAGAGGAAAACACCTGGGATTCTTACAAAAGGAGATGGCCAATACCTGCCTTGCAAGGACAAATTTCCCTTTCATCCAAAACCACACTCCTGCACTCTGGGTGTCATTGCTTAGCAAAACTCAGCTGAAACTCAGTGTAGATCTTCTCCCAAAGCACCAAACTTGGCCAGTTATAACTTCTAAGTTACAACTTCAGAGTTATAACTTCCTTGCAGCTGTAGGAGTTTTCTCTTCCATGCAGAAAATCCTGCTGCTGAAGAAGAGCATAGAGGTGTCTGCAGCTATTTCTGTCCTAATGCATGGTGAAAATCATTTCTCTCCACCTCCAGAACCCTTTTCTCTGGCATCCCTCAAGGTCCCTCCTCCCTCCCATCCCACAGGGCCACCCGTGCCCATCGCCAGGGGAGCGGTGTGGACTGAGCAGTCAGCAGCACGCCGGAGCACCCGGCTTTCCCCTGCCGCGCTGCCTCACCCAGCTGCGCGCAACGTGGGTGCTGTCCCCGCCGGGGAGGGAGCAGCGGAGCGTACACCTTGAGAGAAGGGATGCCCTGCTTCCGAGGAGCAGATGCAGCGTGAAGAGCCTGCTGGGGTGCCTGGGGACAGGACCATCCTTTCGGTGGCAATAGCAGCCTTGACATTTGTTGGGATTCCCTATACAGGCACAGCTGCTTCCCAGTGGGAGATGAGTGGGTAGTTAAGTTCACCCATGCTTTTATTACGTGTTGTCTTGATTGTTGTGAAATGTTTATGTCCCAGTGCAAACCCATTGCCTTTAGGATCAGAGCAGCTTATTCAAGGAACAGGACAAATTGAAATGCTTCACTCCTCTCTACCTCGCTCCGTGGGGTGATGCCCCAGGGCATCCTGGCACCAAGTGCATTTCAGGGGGCAGCACAGCCGCTAGCCTGAGAGCCAGCATCCCTGCCACGGGGAGGGGACAGGGATCTCTCAGCAGGCAGCCTCAAAACCCTGGAGCTTCCCCCAAAAAGAGCCAGCAGGCTCAGTCACCAGCCCCCCGGCCAAGCCCCGTCCATGGCCAATGGCCAGCTCACCGCCCTGGCAGGGCTCGGGGATGAGGGAGGTGTCTGTCCCCCTCTGTACGTTCTGCAGAGTGCAGATGCAAGGTGCTCAAATGCAGTGATGAGAATTGTTTAGGAACAGCAGAAGGATGGGCAAAGCTAGATAAGACAAAATATAAATCTAACTCTCTATCTGGCTCTGTATAAACCATCATCATCCTCTTTACCACTGTGCCAGCATGTATGTGCTGCCATGCTCACTCGGGAGGGAAAGGAACATCTTTTGTACGGCACTATTCAGTGTAGTTTGATGTTTTGTTTCACAGATGCAGCCTTGGAGCAACGTTAGCCTATTATGAAGACTTATTTAGACAGGTACAATTACAGCTCGTCAGTGAAGGTGCCTTTGATCCCAGCATCCCCATTGTTCCTGAGGCTTTTCATCCCCGCTGGTACCCAGCTAGCAGGCCTGTGCCCAAGACCAGCCTTTGAAGCTGTTTCTTTTCCATTTCCCCTTAATTTTCATGGTGTCGTCTTCTGCTGATGACCATTATTAATGAAGGTTCTGGCATTCAGTTGTGCTCAAAATACTGATGCTTGGCAATATCTGACCTTCCCCAGCTGTGCAGCAGCCATCCCCAGGAGGAGGGCGAGCAGTGGGACCAGGGCACTCTGTGCAGAGGAGAATCGCCTTGTGCATGGTGCCCACAGGGAAGGACCTGCTCCCGACTGCTCATCCTTTTCCAAAGCACTTTACTGCAGTGCAGGTTCGTGTGTCAGCAGCTCTCAGCTTCCTGCCTCCCAAAATCTCCAGTACAGGACTTTGCTACTGGGGAAAATGAGGTCTTTCAGATCAGAAGTAGCTCAAGATGGATGAGAGAGGGGGAGAGTGATTTCTAGATACAGAGAAGGAGTGACATCCTTTTCTAGGAGCAGCCATGTGGCCAGTCACCAGTTCTGTAGGGTGGCTTGGGATTTTAGTGTTAGGATAAGGAATTAGATGACAATTGCCTTTAGTTTTGCAGAAGGAGTCTCTGTATGCAGTTTGGGGTGGTCGCTGGTGACTGAGAAGCACAGAAACTGATGCCATTTGCTTGATTATGCATTTAGCATGTTACTATGAGACCAAGGAGGAAAACTCCCGGAGATAGTGTTCACCAGGTACTGAGAGGTGGTAAGACAGGTCAGAGAGAGGGGAGGTAAAGGAGTCCACCAAGAACTATGAAACACAAGCCCCCTGTGACACAGACCTTTGTGGCATGAGAGAGCATGCAAGGGAGGCACTGCTGTATGCATGTAGGCATTTCATCTCCTACAGGCCACTGTCAGAGACAGCACGATGGATGAGGCAGATCCTTTTGATCGATAGGGATTTTCTTCTGTCAGATGGGAGGAAGTATGACTGGACCAATGTAGGCAAATTGCCGGCAACAATCACAGTGTAATTGCAAGAACTGCAGACAGAAAACCCACTCGCTGCAAGAGTTGCCCAAGATGTAATGACCCAACGCATGAGGAAGCAACGGTCTCCAGTAAAAACTGGGAAATCCACATTTAGTTCAGACAGCGCCTTGTCAAGATTTCTGAACGCACCAAAGGATTTGCCCAGAGCTACCAGCTGCTTGGAGCCTTAATTGCGCTCATTGAAGTTGTGCTAAGTTAGTAGACAGTTCTTTCTAATTAAGTGCAAACTCCTTCAGATACTGAGTAAAATCGCATCTTGACTTTGCCTTTCTCCTATCTTAGCATCTAGAATTGGCTTGTGCAAAACTAAGTGTCTTGCTGGATGCGAACATGTGGCTCTATCTGACCCTTTCAGCGTAACACCAGAGACCTTCCTCCATTAAGCAGGAGTGGATTTACTGACAGCACTGAAAACTGGCAGGGCAAAAGCAGCAGTGATGCCTTTGCTTCTGGGCTGCGATCATTGATTCCAACACAAGACAAAACCTGTTTCCTTTCTGGGTGCCGTGAGCCACCTGTACCCCCTCTCCTGGTACACTGGTATCCCAGCAGCCCACCTCCAGAAGGACACGTGCCTGGCAGTGCTCAGGCCTGAAAATCTTGCAGAGAGGTGGGATACACCCAGCTGTCCACTCCACATGACGTTTGTTATTCTCTTAGTTTTAACACAGGAGATTATCTGGAATTAAAAGCTACCTGTGCTCTCACAGGTGAGAAAGCACTACTTGGCATATGGACATATATTTGTGAAGCTAGGATATGCAGTTGCCTTAAACCTCTTTCTTATTATAGCCATGTAATTGCAGTTGTTTCTGAGCCTGTATGTATCTGCCTAGTGCTGTGTTTTTCTATGAAAGCAGTGTGAGGCCAGGGCATCTCCCTTCAGCTCCTTATTTGCTCATAAACATCCTCACCCATCTGGATGACCCTATACCCAGTGATGTATTTCCTTGTAACACACTGAAAATCAAGGAGTTCCTAAGATGTTGTTCATACCCAGTATGAAGAGTCCAACTTCAGCAGGCTGCGATCTGACCCACTGGTGCAACTGGCAGTGGGCCAAAAAGTCGCACTCAAAGCGGCATCGCTTTTAGGGACAAAAATGGAGATTGTGATTAAGTGGCTGTTCCGCAGTGCAGGCTCAGGGTGAAGTCAGTCGCTAGAAGCTTCGTAACGTGGCAGTGGAGGCAGGACGTCAGCAGTCTCTAATCTTTTTTAGCTTTGCCAAAATCAGGAGAATTCAGTGAGATAAAGTGTAAAAGTCTGGAATGTATTTAGTAAATAAAAAGAGACCCCAGAGGAAGTCAAAGTAAAACAGACTAACAGTTCAATTTTTCAATTACCTGAACAATCTCACAACATTAATCCTGGGTGCCGAATACCTGTGAAGAAATTTCCCTGCTGAATTAGTGTCAAGTGCTGCTCTTAACGCCACTTTATTTCTAGCCACGCTCGATGACATGAACAAACAGCCATTCCCACCTGTGGAATGTACTAGGGAAAGCTGCACAAGCAGGTGAAGGTTTAGGATGCATTTTGTTTTGTATACGTAATTGGAAATAGCTTTAAAGGAAAAGGGGCTCAAAATTTTGTAATAAACCCAATTTTACAAGGAATCAAACACTATTTATTGCATGCTGTGTATTACCTTCCTGCTTTTCAGGCTCCGAAAAAAAACCTCAACAACTTTTTTGAAACGTTTAACAAGATATTTGTGGAAATGCAGACTTAAAATATGTTCAACATTGTGTTTGCATGTTATCCTTCTTTTCCCTTTTCTTTGCTTTCATTAACTGAAATAAATTATTAATGTCATGGTAGGGGGAAATTGGGCACTTCCTTTAATTTTTTTTTTTTTTCTTCCCCCTAATTCTGGAAAAGTTATGAAGTGAAAAAAAAAAAAAAGCCAGACTGCCTCTTGTGCGGCACAGAGCGAAGGGAAAAGAGAACAAGGGAAAAGATTATGTAGAAGATTTCAAAATTCAAGATGCAAAATGCTCATCTTGAGGAATTTCCCCATATGAAATGCTCTTTGTGAAACGGCACCGAGGTCTTGGTGGGAAGGTTGCCTCGCTGCAACGGGCGTGGGGACACTACTCTCACCTGTGCCAAAAGCAGTGCTCGTGCCTGGCACCTCGGTGCTGCCCGGGCGACCACCTCCCGACACCACTGCAGCTTCTTGTCTTTTCTTTTCTTTTTCTTTTTTTTTTTTTTGTCTGCTCCCCAGTTCGAGTGAGGGCTTCAGCGTAGCGGAGAAGATCGTGCTGCTCACCTTCATCTCCGCCGTTATACTGATGGCCATCCTGGGGAACCTGCTGGTGATGGTGGCCGTGTGCCGGGACAGGCAGCTCA